CTAATTGTTGTTGTTAAAATAACAGTTTCGGAAGACTTAAGAGAGTCAAAACTTTTTTCCTCTACTCAACTATTTTCCAGAAATCGCGCGGTGTTAAATTTAAGATCAATTTTACGGAGTATTGGACGAATATTGAAATGTATCAAATGTATATCTAAAACATATACCTATAAGATTGAAACTGTACGAAAGGTTTTAATATTCGAGAAGAATATCGATTTCTATCGGATTCGATATATGTCGAGAAAAATAAATCGGTAAACAATGAAGAAACTACGCAGCGAGGACCAATTAATTTGTAGCGTGTCTACCGCTCGCGAGACGGCGGTTCGGCTCCGATTACGATCATTGCCCGACGACGCCTGTTGTTTAACGATGCCGCCGGCTCTCGCGCGCGCGGGAGCCGGGAGCCCACTTCTCTTTCTTTCTCTCTTTCTCTCGGACATTGTTCCGTGACGGTCCTCCGTTTTCATTCAGTAATTCGCAGGCAGCTGCACACTAATAATAGTAGCGGACAGTGCCGCTACCACGTCGCCGCATTCTCACTGCCTTCAACGTAACGACGAGGAGCGAGCGGACGTGCTCGAGAAGATGAGAGAAGAGGAAGACAGTGAGAACCACGCGTGAGCGGAGTGGTGCGGAGGGTAGGGCAGCGAAGTCGAGGGAGGGACGGAATCGCCACATTGATTCCGACTGCGCTGAATTTGGAAGAACCCGTGACTAAGAACTCGTGACTCGGGCCGCCAAGCGATTGATTAACTGCAATTCGGTCGTGGGATATGAGAGCACGACGAAAGTTCGCGATACGTCGCGATATCTCGCGTTGTCCTGTGAATATTTTTATCGTATAGAGAATGTGTAATATCGCCAGTAACTCAATGTCACCTTCAAAAATAGACACGGCGGTTCATTCCGGAAATCTTTCCCGTCATCGACAGCGATATGATGTTTAGAAGAGTACGAGCACGATTTAAAGCATATCGGAAACGTAAATTATAATCACGTAACATACACATATGCGTGCATGACAACATAGACGCGTCTCAGCAAAGCGTAACATCCGCATCTATATTGATAGATGATAATGCATTTCACATCGTTATCTTATTTACGTCCCGATTCATCTACAATGATTTTCGAAATACGAAATATATCTATTTTTCTTTCTTAGAAAATCAATAATTCAGAAGAAAAAATTATGTGTAATTTAATTTACTTATATTTACTAAGAGTAATATAAATTTATTCCAAAAATATATTGTTTATCATCACTAAATATTATCGCTATTTGCTCTACACATTTTGAGTTCAAAATCACTGAAAATTGTAAAATAAACTATCCTTGAAAATAATTACGAATCATTCGAGTCTGGATTTTAATGATCTTATAATAAAATGTAATACCAAATACAAATGCCTTTATATTTTCAAAAAAATCTTTTATGATCTAAAAATGTGAAGAAAAGCTTTACATACTAAATATAAAAAAATAATAAAACGAGGTAAAAAAGACCTGACTTGAAGTAGGATGATAAGCAGGATGACGACACAATTGATAAATATATTTTTACAACCACGAGACGAATAAAGACCATATGCGTACCATTGTCTGTGACGACTGAAAAGAGATATGTTATTAACGTCTGGTCCCTAACTATTACATATTTATTATTTCGTCGAAAGGGAAAAAATGAAATTTCGTAGAGACGAATTATGCACATATATAGAATAAGTGATTCCCGTGCGCACTTTGCGGACGTATCACTTGTCTTACAGCGGTGAAAAGTCAAGGGAATTAAACGCAGATAACCGAACCTTATCGCGCGGTATTTCTGCTACTTCTCCGTTCTCACCGCATAATTAACGTTTTGCGTTTAATCTCGTTAAACATGCCGTTGTGCATATTTCGAAAAAAATCAGTCCTGCTTTTTCCAATACATCTGTACAATATGATAAATACATGTTACAAGATTTAGATTGAATTAATTAGATTTAATTAATTTTTAATCACCAATAAACAATAATCAAAATCACAAATAAATGTGAGAATGTCGTCTACGGCCATGGCTGGATCTTGCCTAATAATACATAAAATAATTAAAATATTCTGACTATATTTATTTCAGCTTTTTCTTAAAATCTAGTTTATTACGTGTATTAATATAGTATATATATATATACATATACATATATATATATATACTTTTTTTTAATCATAAGTTAAGTCTCTTAGAATCTCAGAGCTTAAATTTAATTAGAAATAAAATTAGAAAAAGCTCAAAAAAATTTTCTGCTTTTATCTATAAACTCCATTCGTGTGATGACATTCTTTTTGAAATTATTTCATTTATAAGAAGCACTTTTCTTCTTATTAACATTAAATTGAATATTTCATCACTAAAAACTTACACAGAAAACTTCATCGTTTTGCAGCTATATAACAACAATATTTTTGGAATTATTTAACATTTTGTTAATTATATTATAATACAGGTGTGTTTTTATCAATTTTAGATCATGAAAAGACATATAGTATTATCTCTAATTTTTAAAAACGTAATATTAAAATAACATCGCAAAATAAACATACGTTAAATATCAAATTGCTCGGACAAAACTATGGTATCGGAAAGATTAAAGAAAGCAGCTTCTGTTCGTCCTCGCATGCAATAGCTTGTACGTCAGACAAATCATATTACGATTTTTTTCCTTCCAAGATATGCTGGGCGCACCATTTTCTCTCTACGGAGCTCAACCTTCGAGAGAGAAAGAGAGAGAACCAACGTGCTTCGAAGGAAATGGCCATACTACACACGTATCTCCGTATAACGTGTGCATCCTATCATTTACCAGATAAAGAGTGGGACAACAACGTTCGCGTATCAGCTAAAGCCGAAGATACTATGGTTTCCGGTTAATGAGAACGTTATGATAACAACTGCTTTTTTTATATATGAAAACGAATTACAAAACTCATGAGTCTGACCTCTTTCCGATTTATAATCTGATTTTACGATAATCATGAGAGATCAACGTTTCATTATTTTGCATTAATTTTAGAAGTTATTATAAAATAAAAATTAGTAATTGAATGCTTTTTGGAGCCAATGCAGTTGTTGTGACATGAACAAATGCGACTTATACTTTTAAACTGTTTGCACTGAAGAAGAATTAATATATTAAAATTTAAATATATTGGAGATTTCCAATATATCAGTAATTTTACTTTCGAAAATTTTATTCCAAAGTCTTCACTATTAAGCCAAAATGATTTTAATAGATTTGCAAAATAAAAAGAACTTCTTCTAGCAGTCTTTTAACTCTTTTAAGCAACGGACGTTCTGCTATTTATATGAAAATATTCTTTAATTGACAAACATATTAATGTTATATATGTTATATATCTATATAAAACATAAAAAATACAAATTAAACAATTTCTGTCAGGTAAAAGAAATATTTCAAAATACTTCATTTATAATTTAATTCTTATTATTCAGTACAGATTCTTCCTAGAGCTCGAATATAGAAGTTTTATATCGACATGAAAATATCTCGCAATTTTATTTATATAATTACATTTGCCTCAATATTTATCCTATATACACATATTCATTTCATTTTATTTACAGTACAGGAAAAAGTATCGAAAGTATCAGATAGCGTATAGCTAAAATGAACGAATCTCTTCAATTAAATATAGTAAATATTCTTAAGGGTGTCATTTAAATTAGATACTTTTAGAATGGCCGAAAATGTTTTAAGCGCTCAAACAATATGGAGTGTGCGCCATAATTTTTTACGACCTTTCGCTCGTGCCGCTTGACCAGTGTGGGGCAGGGCACGCGCGGGTAGTGGCTACGCTCCTAACCTTGATTGCGGCCGACGCACACGCCGACGTTGACGCAGGGGAACGCGACGCAGGTAGGGGATGTGGCGACGGCACGGCACGGCGGACAAACGGATATATAGCACACGCACGAATCGCTCGAGGATAACATCTCGCTGTCCCAGGAACGGCGCGGCGGGGCAGCAGAGCAGGAGGGGCTGCGCGTTGGTGGCGGACGAGAGAGAGAGAGAGAGACAGAGAAAGCCCGAGCCGAGGGGTGAGACGCGCGGGACAGCGGCGGCACACCGTAGGCGGAGGATGCAGGGGAGAGATCTCATCGGCCGGTAACCACGAGGGAGCGTGTAGGAAAGTGAAGAGTGGAGGGGGTGGAGGGATATTCCAGCGTGTCCATCGTCGTTTATATCGTCGGAGGGGCGAGGGAGGGAGAGAGAGAAAGAGAGAAAGAGAGAGAGACTCGATCTCAACGCGTCGGAGAGGGGAGATTCGGCTCGCGTTGGAGGGGCAGAGGGTGGACGGCGAGCGGGCGACGGCGCGCGCGAACGGGACGGAGGTAGAGGTATAGCGAGAAAGAGAAGAAGTATGGGGGCGGTGGCTGCTACGGCTACACGGCCGCCATCACCATCCGTGTCCCATCCTATAGTAAACTGCTCGAAAGCAGTCCCCGATCCGTCGTCTCCGTGTGTGTTAGTTAGGGAATCGTGTTTTACCCGGTGCTTCTGGCTTCTCTACTCGGCGCGAGGCTGCTAGTAACGCACCGAACTGTTTCTGCCTTGTCGCCCGCTCCGTCTCTGCTATGTCTTGACACACCATCCGCGCACACGCTATCCTCTCTCACTTCTCTCTTTCGCTTTTCCCGTCTCGCGTTCCTTCCTCACGCTCTCTGGCTGTCTCGCATCCGTCTCGCATCGTCCCCTTCCCTTCCTTTCTCTCCGCGTCCCCCCTGTTCCGCGCGTGATAGTCACCCGCTAGTCATTGTCCGTCTTCTCGCACCGCGATCGCAATCGGGAGTGCTCCTCGTTTTTTTTTGTTCCTTTTTCTCCTGTGCGTCGGTGGTGCGTGGTGCGAAGACGGTCGTTGTCTCTCGAAGGTGTCGAAAGTGGAGGAGGAAGTAATGGAGTAGGTAGGGGAGGAGAAGATAAAAGAGGAGGAGATGGAGGAGGAGAAGAAAGAAGAAGTGATACTACAAGAAGAGTAAGAAAAAAGGAGCGTGCACATTCTTATGTGCGATATTCCCGCGAATATACAGGAGCACGGAGTAGCCTCTCCCTTTTCTCTCTTTTTCTCTCCCTCTTTCCTTCTCATTCTCTATTTTTCGTTTATTTCTCGCTCCCTCTCTCCCTCTCTCTCTCTCTCTCTCTCTCTCTCTCTCTCTCTCTCTCTCACACATACACACACTCACCTCCTCTCCTTCTCGCTCCCTCTCTTTGGCGTTTCCGCGCGTCCGCGCGATCCCGCGAGATATACGCGCGCGCGAGTGAAATGATTATTTACAAAGCGTAGTTGGCCGCCGTCGCCGCGTTTCAACCGTCCACCGTCTCAACATCACGACGATCACAAAATCACGAGCGTCGCGACGGCGAGACGCGAGGAAGACGCGAGAGAGAGAGAAGAAACCGGAGGGAATGACGCGCGACCGAGACTGACGTTTTCACGTTCCGGCGTGAACGTGAACGGAATTCGTGCGAATGCCAAGCTAGCTCACCTGAAATCCCTGCGGCGGGGGACTCACCGAATAAAGCGTTCAACCCGCCCATCCGTTTACCTGCCTCTTCTCCCGCTACAACGCGCGTCTCCTCGCACTCGCATTGACCGTGAATCCTCCGAACGAGGAGGGTCTCCAAAACGGAGCGACCTGGTTGGAGCACAAAGCGCATTTCGTCAGCTGGAATTCTCCGTCCCATCAAGAGCGGCGCAGTCTTCTCTCGCGTAGCCTCCTGCATGCAGTTGCCACAGTTTCCTCCACACATTTCGTGCCTCTTAACCACGCCGATTAAACTACCGTGGATCTTAAGCGCAATCAACAGCAGTGACGCGTGTGTTTTCGATGTCCGCGGTTGCCGGTGCTGGTGGCACATTGTCAAAAGCGGTAGTGTGCCGTTCCTCTGGGCGACCGTCGACTACCACGTCGCGACGCCCAACGTCGTCGGCGGAGTCCACGTAGTCGTGCCGTGAGAGACGATGAGACGAGCGATTCGTCTTGTCAGTCTGCAGTGTCTCGAACCGCGATAGATCGCATGATCGTGGTGATATATAGCGACGAAGGGAGGATAGATGATCGGGTGACAAGAGAGTGATAACGGTGGATCCCCGCATGCGCGCGCCGCGACGAAGTATCGCGAGGGCAGCGAGAGTTCAAGTTGAAAGTACGCGAGAGAGGCGACTTGAAGAGAAAGAAGAAGAAATTACAGCGATGTTGATGCGCCGCTGTGCCTTAGAACGCCGATGGACAACGAACTCGTCGTCGTGAGACGAAAATCGAGCTGACGCCTCCCCCCGCTGGAGAACGGAACCTGGCCGCGACGTCGAGGAGCCGAAGCCGGAGCTGGAGGAGGAGGAGGAGGTGGAGGAAGAGGAGGAAGAGGAGCCGCCGGACGTAACCCTCGAGGCACCGGCTCCCACGAATATGAGCATGACTCTCGTCCGAAATTCGTTCAAAGGTAAGCTCCGAATAAACGTTGTTTGTTCCATTTCAACGGAATTCTTCGAAATTCCTTCTAATTGAGAAAAAAAGTCAATAAATCAGGGAAACTCGGTGTGCATTGATTACGCGATTTGCTGCGGCCAATTTTTTTCGACATATTTTTCCAAGAGGCAAATTTACTTGTTATTTATTTAATATTTTAATTTTGGTTTGCCAAACTTTATTTATTATTCAATAAATGAAATAAATTACCATGAACAAAACGGATTATCGTCACACTTCATACTTTTTCAACATTCTTTAAATTAATTTTTTTTCAAGTCAACCTCATATAAAATTGAGGCACATTATTATAGAATAACAATCTGATATTTGTCGATTACTTTTACATAAAGAGCGTCGCTTTTTAATTTTTAATATATTAAATATAAAATAATGAAATAAAGAATTGAAAATCTATTAAAGTTTATCTGAAATTAATAAAGAATACTCGTGGCTCTGAAGTTTAATGTCTCAACAGCCTTTAAATTTTAATTTAATCTTATATGACTTAAAGGCTATTAGAATTTAAAAATACATTATCAATGTACGTGATTATAAATCTAAAAATTAATAACTCGATAAATACGATGTATTGTGTTAACGATAATGTTCAGATTGCTTTTGTTATACGATTTATTATCGACTTTAAATCGATCAAAAAGTCCGTGGATTTAAATGAAGTCTAAAGTGTAAACGAAATGCGTCGCGACACCTTGTACAAAATTCGATCTTTGTGTGGGCGGATGCATAACTTCGTCATCTGGTTTTCGACTCGATGAGTCTCGGAAAATTCGCAGAACGCGTGTCGCTGCACGTGCGCGACCTATATCGCCTGCGTGATATAAGGCGGCATTTAATGGATGAGGCAGCATCTGCGATTGACTCCACTGTCGTCTGTCCACCGTCTCCTGTTTCGCGAAAATCGATACTGGCCCGACATCGTTCTTAGATAATATCCCCTATAAGGAGAAACTGTCATTTTATCTTGTGACAAAAAAATCATCCTTGTCTTTCACGAATTTCGCACAATTAAAGTATAAAAGCAAGTCAAACCCAGATAACAGTTTTTAATAAATAAAAATAAATATTTAACAACATTTTAATGATATAGTCTAACTCTATGAAAAATGTGATTTGAAGGAAAACCAAATTTTTTTTGTCAACAACTATCAATAATTTTCTGTGGTGCTGATATGTTAGTTAAAATGAAATTTTCAATTGTCTTAAATCAATGTATAAGATTTGTAATTCTCGGCAATGACATGTGTTGACGTTCATACTTGTTGCCTTCCTTTTCTGTTAGTGGAAACAAAAAAAGGAAGATATAATAGGTGTGAATGCCGGGCATTGTCCAGAATTACAGAAGTACAGTAAATCTTGGACAGCACTGCCTTAAATTATTATTCGTGACACTCATTCCAAAAGGACAACTAAATTAGGCTATTTTGTCGATGTGTATGAAATTATGTACAGTGTAAAAATATATCGTATTATATAATGAGAAAAATGAAAAGGATTTTGAGCCATTTAAACTTTGGTATAAGAAATTTATTATATAATATATATTATATAATATGAATTCATTAACAAATATATTTTAACAAATTAGATAATATTAACGAAGTGAAAAAATTAAACCAAATTAAAATACAAAATTCGATATTGTCAACAGTTGTATGTATACTATATATATATAGTACAGAGTTTCTTTATAACTTCCTAGATTAACCCATATATTTGAGTAACACCATCTAATTTATTGCCTTCATTCCTTTCACCTTGTACACATGCATAGAAGACGCAAGATCCACCTTGGCCGATTTACTCATTAATGAGTCTTACTATTCTCGTGATACGTCATCAGTTATCTAGACCTTGGTAGGCCCATCGTCACACATCATTCGTAAGTACGATTAGTCGCGTATCACTGATTATGCAGAAAAAATATTGATTCTTGACTCCATGCATTAAACGCCATACGATGATTACTATTGACGTTTTAATACTGATATTCCTCATTGATATACACAACTTAGATAATTTAAAGAACTATTTATTAAAAAAAAAATGAATGAGATAAATTTATAAATCGCATTTATTCCTTTATATCATAATCTGTAATTATGTTTTGAAATTAAAATTAGCCAGAATCTTCAGTGTTCCATTTGTTAATTTTGCTGTAAACTTATTAATTTTTAATTTTAATTTTATTTGCAAAAATATACTACAAGAAAAACTTACTCTACTTAATAAAATTATTTAAAATTATATTTACAATTGTACAAAAGTTTTCTAAAATTTTCAAGAATTAAGAGAAAATATATGAACCGATATCGTTTCTTGAAAAGCACCTTTTCTACGAAAGGTGACTCTTTTCTTTAAAGAGATCTCCAGTTTCTGTCTCTAGTGAAAACAAAGCTGCAAAATACTGTCAAGCAATTTTCCAAATGGCTCGCAATAAAAAAAAATCTCTAGTGTTCCTTACTGCGTTTCAATTAGAAAATTCAATTCGTAGTTTTCTACTGTTGTTATCTTTTACTCTGTTAAAAGAGTTTTACTTTCTAACAGAAATTCTTTTTCCGGTCAGGGGCTATTTTATTTTTTTTGCTCTATTACTACTTCTGTGAAAAAAAACATAGAATGCAATCTTCAAAATGGCTAAAAATTGTAACAAAAAGAAAAGTCTAGGATTTTTCAAAGAAAATCGGAAATTAAAAATTTATTTATGGTCAAGTTAGATTAGATTTTAATCAATACTTTTGCATATAAAAAACTTCATTTTTTTAATTCAAGAAAAAGATTATTATTTTTATCAGCAATCTATTTGGAAGTAAATCTGTTTGGATTCTTAGTTTATAAAATTTAAATGATAGCTGCAGGAAGAAAAACAATAAATAAAATAATCTTCAATGCATATAGAAAGGAAATTATTTAATTATATCTTTGTACGTTTAGAAAGATTGCTTGGGAAGGAAAAGAGAATTTAAGAATCCTATTATAAAAATCCTAATGCTGCGAATAACAAAAGAGGTATAAAAAACACTTAATGTAATTTCCTAGACAGTTTGGATTTATGTCGATCGCGATTTCCCGTAGAGCGGTGAAACACGTAACCCGAAACTCGCGGAAAGCCAAAAATCAACTCGCCGTGTTTCCCGCGCAGCAAACGCGAAGAAAGCGAACGCGCGTCTGATATGGCGCGCGCGGGCGCGGATGTGTGACCGGTGATTACACACCGAGTCAGGTAGCAACGAAGTCGTGCCCCGTACGAAAATATTTAACCATTCCTAATATTGGCGCACGAAAACGCGCCGGCTCTTATTTTCGTCTCTACGGCTATAATAGCCAAACAAAAGTTGCACGTGCATAGAAAAGCGTCGTTGTTTCTGTGACTATGCCTCATGCGGCTAAGTTTAGACAGTTTTCTATGCATAGACCGTTTGTATGTGCTAAAAATTTATATTGAAAAAGATTTCACAGAGAAATTTTCCGTTATATACCGTATAGGCATAGTATTTATAAAATTTCTGAGGGTTACTAAAGCAAAAAGATTAACGAGAGAAATTATAACGAATTATTTTTAAAAGAAACAAAGAATAGTATGAAGAAGCAATGTGATTAGGTAATAGGTAATAAAAATTATATTGATTTCTGTTGCATATCTCATATCTCGAAATAAAAAAGTACTTGCGATATTTACGAACTAACAATAAAATCATTATATAAGGTCACGAAATAATTTTCAATATTAACGCACACAGATGAAACTGCAGTTTTACGTTTTATTAATTGTGGTGCCAATTGTTCCGATTCAATAGAAATCTTGATTTAACAAAAGATTCAATTTAATTTGAAATTATTTTTGTATATTTATTAAAAGTAAAAAAAATTTTGCTAAAAATCAAGATACAGAAGCGACTAACCGGAGCTGCCACGATGCTGCGAGAAATCTGATCGAATAGATTTCTTTAGACATTTATTTTTTATTGGCGCGTCTCTCAAAGAAAGAAGGTTGGAATTCGATGCTGTTTATGCAGCACGTGCATTCACGTGCAAGAAAGCGCATTGTCTTCGTAGGAAGATAATTTTCACTCCGTGTTTCAGAACGGGATGAATCGACCAAGCCTGAATAGATCTGTATTTTTTATGACCTTTTGTACGATTTATCTCTTCACAATTATGATTGTATTGGTTTAATTTCTTCTATTTATTACGTTAGAACGGGCAATTTTCGTCACAGTACACGCGAATGAACGCTATTTTAATTCCTTTATATGATCCCTATACGGATACATCTTTTCTTTAACAGAAAGTGACATGCAATATGTGAATGTTCATTTTATTTATTTTACAAAAGAGAGAACGAGATGTTTATTAACGATTCTTATTTTAAAAATCCAGGAATTTTAATATTGTAACAAGTGTCACTATTGGTTTCGGAAACAGCGTGAGCTTCCGAGACAGCCTGCAATGTGTAAGATAATACGACTCACGCGACTGCGAGCAGATAAAATCGTGCCAGTTCAATATTATCCGTGGATTTTCCTCACTAATTGAGAAATGCGTCAATATTTCTTTCGCAGATAACGATTCTGTGACGACGTTTGTATTCATATATATATATATATATATATATATATATATATATATATATATATATATGCGAGATATAACGAGTAGAGTAAACCGTTTTATTAACTGTTTTTCGTAATACGCATCTTGTTTTCTAGCGACTTGTTATCATCGAGCATTACAAAACGTTACAAGGCGTTAATAGATCGTTAATATCAGAATACTAATAATTTCCGAACTATTAAACGAATGAAAAAGAAGACTCTATTTAAAAGAGAGCTTACAAAAAGACGAGACAATATAGAGATAACACAATTATATTTTTTATTTAATTTTGAATAGGCATTAGAAACGACGATGGAATTCTAAGCTTCCTTGTAATAATATCGTCTGATATCTTAA